TGTGCGGAATAAGTTGCCACACCATGAAACGATTATTTAAGTGTGAGAAATTCATTACTTACATCAGCAATATTTTTCAAACAAATTAATTACTGGATCTACTACAGAAGAAATAATATTGAATTTGAGAACAACATAAATAGTTTCTAATAGATCTGGTATGGCGGTAATTGAGTCTGTCTTTAAAATTGTCACCTTTTTTCTGGAGGAATAAGAATTGCATCGCATAGTTCTTATCATTATATTTCGTATTTTCTCAATTTTTCAACCTTATTCGATGCTTTCCACTTCAAGTATCTTAAAATCTCCATCACTGAATACTTTCTATAATCTTATGTTCAAAACATTTGTCTGTTATTGGTATTCTCGCTGTGGTAGTAGCTGCATATATCTTACTTTTTTTCCGAAAACAATAGCATTCATCGTTCAAGAAGCATCATCTTGTTTTTTACTGCTATATTCTCGGAGTGTTCCCATTTATCAACAATGAATGATCTCCTTTGACTTCTTCAGGGGCATTTCATGCACATTCCCCCACGAACACTCTTCTCAATAAACGGCAAATTTTTCAGATTAAATCCGACAAACCGTTTCTTCTCATCGAGACATTATTGATTCTCGTTAATCCAATTGCACTATAATACCACTATACTATCGATGGATGGCGCCACCATAATATGGTATCTAATAATTGATATGATTATGACTTGTAATTGGATTTTAGCTTGTATTCAAGTGGCACATATGATATCATTGTACAAATGATAATCTGCCTCAAAAAAAATTCCATTTCAAAGAAACTGCCGCTTGGAAGCCGCGAAACCTCATGTGTTATTGCGATTTTTTTCGCGGTTCAATTGCAATATGATCTTATATGGTTGTAGGCGATCATCACACCACATTTTCAACCGATCAGTATCAATTGGTTTCATATAAATACACACTTACAAGTTTATTACATTTACTTTTTGAGTTCGTTCAACTCCTAGGATGAACTGAAAAGGTCCCGCCACAAGTCGAATTCTTTAGTTATACAAACTATCAATATTAATGAGTTTAGTGCAAACTTTTAGTTGAGAAGTTTCACAGATGTTTCGAATCAACCGGAAAAACTCCTCGAGAATCTGATCGAACATAAACCTTTTGGAAAATTCGGCAAAAATTCCCATTCCCAAGACTTCTCATTGTCAGTGAAATAAAAAACTGCAGTTTGCAAATTGTGTTATGCAAGAAACTCGTAGTGATTTCAAAGTGAATATAGTAAGGCACTCTGGTCGCCGTTCAATGCAGGGAATCTTGTGAATATTCGGCGAGAATTCTCATTTCGAACTCATTCGCCTTGATCAGGATCATACCCATATTCAGAGCATTTCCATGCTGTTGTTGTGCATTTGAAGTGCTGATACCAGACGAACAAATGCAACTTCTTGAAGCAATTTTTCACTTTCACTTTTCCATTGAATTTAAAGGAGCTTCATTTGATGTGATCAGAAAAAAAAAGTTTCTTTACGTCTAGAGCAGAATAGCATAACAAGAGAGCATATCGATGATATATAGATGATATAATCTATCGATGGCTCCACACCTGTGATGAGGTCTGAGATTGTGCTGATGATCTTGAGGTAAGTATGGTAAAGTTCAAATCCACCTGATTGATACGTCTTCTTCTTCTTCTCGAGCGATCAACTTATCGAGCCCAGCAGAGCTAGGTAGGTGCCTTGGTTGCTTTCTTCACTGGCTAGCATCAGCTGCTGCCACGAGTAATCAAAATCACCATCAAATCGCCTCACTCCAAACAAAATTTGTTATTGCGGCTTTCTGGCTCCACTCTGGAATGTTCCAGCCTTACAATATATCATCACCTTCGACTTGTTCACCTTACACACATCACACTTCTGACCTCACTTAATTCAGTGCAGTCTTATTCATGCACTCTCAATGGGTTTTGCAATAAATCAATTTATGATTCACTTGATGAGGGTTCATGCATGCAACTGGGTGTGCACGGAGAAATATTAAGGATCATGGTTATGCACACTTACTCATTGTCAGCACTAGATCAAACGCTCATAGATAGCCATTAGTAGGTGATTTTATTTATATGCAATATTCCATATCTCATAAATACATAGGTGGGTGAATAAATCTTGAATGGGGTGAATCTCCGTTGAAAGAATGCGCAAATAATTATCTTAATGAGTTTTCTCGAAAATGTTGAGAAAATGCTTCATGTGTGTGTATGTGTGATATCGATTCCTGTTTGCTTCAGTCATATCATATCTTTTAAAAACTTACGAATCGTAGAATTGCAATCTGTTAAGTTGATAGAAATGGATTCGATAAAAATAAGCCTAAGACTACTAGAAAAGCGGTCCGCGAATGTTAATGGTTAGTTAAATGTAAGTGAAAAGCGATGTGATATGATGATAGAATGATAGAATTTCTGATTTGTTATTACCGCAAAGTTGAATTGATGCTGTTAAATGGATGGCCGACGCCATTTCGTTGATTGATGATCTCCACTCGATTTGACAGCACACACAGCCCACTGGCGCGGCACAAGCAAAACTTTCCTCGCCACGTTGTAATTTACGGAGTGCCCAAGGACTAAGTTTCAGCCTGACTAATTTCGTTGGATGGCTCCACAGGTAAGCTGGAGCCACAGCGTATAGGTGGCATGGCTCCATTCGATAAGCCTCATAAAATCACCAAGAGCTTAGCCAAATCAAGTTTACATTCGGATGCGTTGTGTAGCAATATTAATGTTTGTATATGCTCGCTCGTCTATAGCTCATCTATAATATGTTCTCGATGGATTGAGACGTCAGCACATTCACTAACTGGATCCGTAAGTGATCTACTGATGGAGTGATGATAAATTGCCTCTGATTCATCAATTTGTGAATTCATTATCTCTTCTTCTCTCTCTCTCTCGCTTCGAACTTTTTATTCCATCTTGCTCGACAAGACAATCCGATAAATGAGATTTGAAATTATCTCTAATCAATTATCACTATCTCTCAACAGCTAATCACTGCTATCATTGACCACAGTCATTCAAACATAACGCATATTTAGCTGAATCCACTTCTCTCTCGCATTCATTTACGTTGATCGATCATTTAGGAATCCTTCTTTGAAAATATAGCAAAATTACATCTCTTAACTATAATTTGCGATTACATTATAATTTAATGTTTCAGCCATTTCTACCGAAACTCTGCTCGTAAGTTTAAAATTTTATAAGAAATTTCAACTGTTAATAAAGCTTTATTTTATTTCATTAAGAGCGTAACACAACAAAATGCAATCAAACAAATTTCACATTACCGATAGAATTTGCAAAGACATTATTATTTCACTGACAACACAACAAACAGACGAATTTAGAAGAATTTCATCATGAAACTTGATTGATTGTACACTTTTGCTAACTGTTATGGTATATTATGGTAAATTTGCATTCATCTAGAATGGGTACCGTGCAAGATCTACTTTTTGCATATGAATGCGTCCAGATTTGAGCATGGCATGAAGAAACTTTCGGAGCATCAGTAGAATAACGTCGCTTGAAATTTCCTGGATGAATTGGTTGAAAATCAATCAGGATTTGTGAAAATGAATGCTTTTGAATTGGATACCGATTAATCCGCAAGAGCGTTTGAACCACAATACTTATATTATGATCACACGACGTTTGATCAGACACAAATTTTAAGACGAATTTTCAGAATGAAAACTTGAAAGCAGAGGATCTGAATGCAGCAACATTGGTGAAGAATCATGAGGTGATGATTTAATACGGTATCAATTCGGTGCTATGATAAAGTGCAGTGAGAATCTAGAAACATCCCAAATCCAATGAAATATTTTTGAGAAGTTTTCTCATTTATTAATCAAAAACTCATTGAATTTTTCTGATTATTTTCACTCGAAAAAAATACTCAATCGAATTTGAAGCAGACAAATCCAATCAGCGATTAATAGATGAAAATTTCTGACGCTGAATTGAACGCACAATTGAGAATTCTTCAACCCATTCTTGACATCGAATTCCAATGAGGAGTTTGTTTCAAATATTTTCACGTTTAATCATAAACGCTTGAAGAAGAGTTGAAGGCATACGAAATGTGTTATCATAAAGCGATGAAAGGCAACAAACAAATCAAGGCGAATTAAGAAAATAAAAAAAAAACAAGGCAGGCTGACGACAACGACTTGGCGGCAACAACCATCGAAACCATCGGAATTATTGAAGTGAATCAACGATATGAATGAACAACGAACGACATACACGACCATCTCAGTTTACAGACAAATGATGATATTACAGGGACCGGATTCATATGACCTGTTCTCAAGAATGCTCTTCTTGAATAGACATACACTTCAAAATGTTCATATGAAGGAAAGAGTTGGCTCGAGGAACACAATTTCACTGAGGTATTTACATTTGAGTGTGATATTTTTTGAATGAAAAAAATAGCCAGAGAACTCTTGAAATATCAGTTTGATGACAGATAACATGGGATAATGCGTTGGGATAATACGACATATGAGCAGTATCGTGAACGAATATATAGACACTGAGACCATTAACAAGTTGAAATAGGATGATTCTCGAGAAATCGAGAAACAAGCGATCAGGATTGAAGATTGAATCGTCGTTGTATGGTTCTTATTCGATCTCCGTACTGGGACAGGATCTCTCGCCTGCGAACGTCCTCGATCGCAGCACTCTCCGCATCGAAATGCAACGTACTCGATCCGGTCAGTGTGCTCCGATTCAGTGTTCCACGAAGTAACACACAAACACCATTCAGTATGAAACGACTCTCGAATGTTATCTGAACAAATCCACTCTTTGAAAGGAGTTGATATAATTAATCGCTAGTAACATGAAGTTCATGCAATTATTTTCGGCTCACTGTGACCAATGCTCCAGACTGATCAATCCAGCCAGCACCATGTACAACTTATTGTTCAATAATATTTGATCTACTGAGAGCAAATTCATAAAAATAATTTTATTTTTGGGGGATTTTATTTGTTATGCTGCATTATGCAAATTGTTATATCCTGCTTGTTTCTAGTCGGATAGAGTTCATCAATAAATTCTATGAAATAAGAAACAAAATAATTTGAAAAACAGCCATAAGAATCACTGAATTCCTCACCTCATTCGGTGCGACAGTGCACGACGACAGCTTAAAATCACTATTATAGCCATACTGAGTGAATGTCTGAAAGTGGAATTATGCAATGCAATTTCAATTTGTTTCAACATTCGAATGCAATTTGCAGAGATTCCTTCGTTCCTAATTTCATCAACTCAAAAATTGTTCAGCAAATAAACATTTCATAAAATCAATTCAAAACTGAAATGCAAAATGATTCAGCATTTGCAATGCTCAGAATAATTGATCAGTAAATGAACTGAGAACATACACCATATCTGGGGCA